TAATAAATAAACACAATCGTTTTCATCTTTTCCTACACTACAGTGTCCTGGGTTATATTGTCAGGCATTGTTTTATGGCTTTTATAGGACCGTAAGTCATTTTCGCCTGCAGTTCAATTGCAATGATTTTTTAGAATAGATCTCAGAGTTGGAAGGGACCTTGGAGGTCTTCTAGTCCAACCCGCAGGAGGCCTTATTCCATTCTGGACAAATGGCTGTTTAATCTCTTCTTGAAAACCTCCAGTGCTGGAACACCCACAGCTTCTGGAGGCAAGCTGTTCCACTGGTTATTTGTTCTCATTCTTGGGAAATTTCTCCTTAATTCTAGGTTGCTTCTCTCCTTGATGGGTTTCCATCCGTTACTTCTTGTCCTGCCTTCAGGTGCTTTGGAGAATAGCTTGACTCCCTCTTCTCTGTGACAGCTCCTCAAATATTGGAAGGATGCTATCATGTCTACCCTCGTCCTTCTCTTCATTAGACTTGTTGTTAGTTGCGAAGTCGTGTCCGACCCCTCGCGACCCCATGGACAACGTTCCTCCAGGCCTTCCTGTCCTCTACCATCTTCTGGAGTCCATTTAAGCTCAGGCCTACTGCTTCAGTGACTCCATCCAGGCACCTCCTTCTCTGTCGTCCCCTTCTTCTCTTGCCCTCCATCTTTCCCAGCATCAGGGTCTTCTCCAGGGAGTCCTTCCTTCTCATTAGGTGGCTAAAGTATTTGAGTTTCAACTTCAGGATCTGGCCGCCTAAAGAGAAGTCGGGGTTGATCTCCTCTAGGACCGACCGGTTGGATCACCTTGCAGTCCAGGGGACTCGCAGGAGTCTTCTCCAGCACCAGAGTTCAAAGGCCTCCATTCTTTGGCGCTCAGCCTTTCTTAGGGTCCAACTTCCACAGCCACACATTGCAACTGGGAGAACCATGGCCTTGACTATACTAGAAATAACCAATTCCCGCAACTGTTCTTCATATGTTTTAGCCTCCAGTCCCCTGATCATCGTTGTTGCTCTTCTCTGCGTTACAAAATCTTGGATGCAAATAAGGAAGATGATTGCTAATCAATTGCACGAACAGCACTGCCTCAAGAGGAGAAGGAATCAGCATTGTGTGGCCGTCACACAAAAAAAACTACAGCCTTGCTTCCCTTCCCCTTTCCATTGACCTGAATTCATACATTTGCAATGTAATGTTATGGTAAACTCGCCTGCCATCAAAATATGTAATTAATTGTGACTTGGGAAGCAGAGCAGCCTGAACCAGAAATATATAATCTGTTTTCCCATCATAAATATGTAGGAAGAAAAGGGAAATATGTGAGGGAATCCAGATTTCACTGGACTTTAACCTGCAGGATTGTAACAGAACAGAATAAGAAAGTGGGAAGGGACCTTGGAGGTCTTCTAGTCCAACCCCCTGCTCAAGCAGGAAATACCATTTCAGACAAATGGCTGTCCAGTCTCTTCTTGAAAACTTCCAGTGTTGGAGCATTCACCGCTTCTGGAGGCAGGTAGTTCCATTGGTTAATTGTTCTCACTGTTAAGAAGTTTCTCCTTAGTTCTAGCTTGCTTCTCTCCTTGATGAGTTTCCATCCGTTGCTTCTCGTCCTGCCTTCAGGGACTTTGGAGAATAGCTTGACTCCCTCTTCTTTGGGGCAGCCCCTGAGATACTGGAAGACTGCCATCATGTCCCCCCTGGTCCTTCTCTTCATTAAACTAGACATGCCCAATTCCAGCAACCGTTCCTTATATGCTTTAGCCTCCAGTCCCCTAATCATCTTTGTTGCTCTTCTCTGCACTCTTTATAAAGAGTCTCAACATCTTTTTTACATCGTGGTGACCAAAACTGGATGCAGTATTCCAAGTGTGGCCTCACCAAGGCCTTGTAAAGTGGTATTAACACTTCACGTGATCCTGATTCTATCCCTCTGTCAATGCAGCCTAGCACCGTGTTGGCTTTTTTGGCAGCTGCAGCACACGGCTGGCTCCTATCTAAGTGATTTGTTAAGTGAGAACTGGATTGTGTCTATTTCTGAGCTGGGCTCTTGAAAGCAGCCCTGGAAACACTGGATCAGCTTCGAAGAGGTGGCTTGTTGGCATTACAAAACCTGCAATCTGCGCCGACTAATGAAGAATTACCCGTGTTTGGCTTGCAAAAGAGAATAGCAAAATGAGGTACAAAAGTAGTGATAGATACAGGCTGCTTGCGTGTAAAAGCGGTAGGTAATATCCTCAGTTGAAATGGTGAGCAGGGCGAGAAGAACTGGTTGAAAGATTCAGGAGGATTTGGGATCGGAGACCTACTGGGACCTTCTCCCTCTAGG